TATGATTTGTATAATATATTATTATAATATTTATAATTTATTGTATATTATTATTATTATTATTTAAATTTGTTAATATTTTTCTATATATTAATATAATATAAATATAATATAAATATTTTCTAATATTAATATAATATTACACTCAATAATATGAGTATTATTATTACTCATGCTTTTTTTGCTTTTTGCTCTGCCTTTAAGATTTAACTTAATGTGTTAAGTTGGTTATTACAAAGAGATTCATTATGCTTACATCTTTTTCATTAATTTTACATACAGCTTGAGAATCACTAGCGTGTCTGACATCAACATATACTATATTCATGTATTCATTGCAGAACAGTCTAATAGCATCCATTATGCACTTCTACATAATTGTTTTTATACAGTAATTGGATTGCATTTATTTCCCCTTTTTTACAAATTGGCAGAAAATGTCAGCTTACAGATTGTGTGCTGTGGCAGCGCAGTTCCGCAGAACCATAACTGAGGACCAGCACAGCAGAAAGTGATAAAACCCAAACAATAGAGGCAAAGGCACGGCCGTAGTTGTAAATATTGATTGCCGTAGAGTGAGGTCTGTTCTTATTGCACTCTTGCAAGAATAATGATGTTCCACGGCGAGCCAAATTGTAATATTTCTCTCAAGGCATGAGGTAGAGGATGCTAATAAGGAAAAGCAAAGTTAACCGCACAAACACGAACCATATGCTGCCTCTGCATGGATGAAATCCTGTGATTCAAAGCAGCTGATTCCATTTGGATGGGTCTCCAGACATCTGCCAAAGAGACACTGGAGCCGCTCAATTCTCTCCGGGAGACAGAACGGTGACACAGCTAAAGAATGCTCTTCATCTCTCAGACCATTAAGATGAAGGATGAACGGCCCTGAGGGCGACGACCGAGAGGCTTTTTTTAATAGACTTTAGTGCCAAAGGTCTTCCAATGTGGTCACGCTCCCTGAAGAATAACCTGCATCACCTTCATCAGATAATTGGGAAAGTTGTCATCAACATCGGATAATTATGGCCGAACATTTTCCATGGGACCCTGCTGGCGTGAGAGTGTCCCCTCCGACCGCAAATGAGGCTGGATGGTTGTAGGGTCTGGGTCTGAATTATTGATATGGTTCTGTATGAGTGGGGAGTTTTTAACGACGGTCATTTAGAAGATGGAGAGGCATCAGCAGGGCGCTAAATCTGACAGCCTGCTCCACAAACACTGACTTTATTGGCCGCACAGATGGCCCGTGTGTACTGACTTCAGAGCGCCAGTACATCACACACACACAGAGGTCTAGACTATCAGGTTTTGAAACAATATATGAAATTAGATTTGCTTTAATGTGTGATAATGAATTCAGATCTATATGCGAGGTTTGTTTCAAGGTTTTCGAAACCTTGAAGAGTGCATTATGTTTGGTTTTCAGACTGGGTTTTCTTTCCTGAGAGGACGCGGACGATGCTGGTCTGAGATTATTGCTTTTTTAAGGGCTCAAATGCTCTCTAAAATGTAGCTTGGGTGTCATCTGTTGTTTACTGTTCTTGAAGAAGAGTGTAGAAGAGGGCAAATCAATGTAGAAAATCTGTCAGTTTGACTTTTGAAAAAGGCTTAATGGACATTTAAGGGTCTCTAGAAAAAGGTGTGCATGCCCTGAGCTGTCTGCTCCAATATGTGAAAGCCTCGCTAGAACATAGATGACGCTTGATTAGTCTTTTAGACTATTTAAAGGAATAATATGCCCAAAAATGAAGGTTCTGTCATCATGTATTCACGCATGCCATTGTAAACATGTATTTTGAATGCAAAAAGAGATGTTTTGAAGCATGTTCACACTGGGCCACCAAGCTCCAAAAAGGACACAAAAGCACCATAAAAATAGTCCAAAAGGCCAGAAAATGTAGGCTATATGACACAAGTCATATGAATACTTTTATGCTGTCTTTTGTGTTTTTTTGACACTTGAAAGCCCCTGGTGACTGTATGTGTTCTTTGAAAAAAATTTTTTTTTTAATAATAATAATTATTATTATTATAAATAAATACAAATAATAATAATAAAATAATAATTAATAATATATTATTTATTTATTATTATTATTATTATTACTTAGCTTTTGTCCCTAAAAATTTAACTGAACATGTTAAGCCATTAATTGCAAAGAGATTTGCTTTGCAAAAAGGACATGAAACCACCATAAAAGTCCAATCGAAAATTTATATGACATAAGTCGTATGAATATTTTTATGCTGTCTTTTTGTCCTTTTTGGAGCCTAAAAAGCCCCTGGTCATTGTATGTGTTCTTTGAAAGGAAAAATATCATAAAATCAAAATATCATCTTCTTTGATCCATGAATGAAAGAAGGTCAGTTACACTGGTTTGGAAAGACATGAGAGTGAGTGAATAATCAATGTGGAACAATATGTTCATTTCACATTGCTGACTAAGGATCGGGAACGTTTTCATAATGCCAATAGCAGAAGGAGAAAAAATGTCTAATGGTGGTTTGCCATGAATCTTGAAAGATGCGAATGGTTTGTACACCAGCGCAGTGCAGTACAGAATACCAAAATATGGAGATGAAGCACTGTACCTGGTCTTATCTCCCAGGGAATGACGTGCAGATTTTGGGAGGGAGAGAGAGAGAGTGAGAGGAAAAACAACATATTGATAGAGCACAGTAGAATTTGCAAAGAAAACAAGCTTGACTCCATTTGACTTTTTTTTGTGTGTGTGTGGTGTTTTGAAAAGCATTTCCATGTCAGTCATTCTAGCTTGCAGAATATTTCTACAAATCACCTGAGGTACGTGTCTGTTAATCTCTCTTTATGGTGTATGATCTTTTCTTTGTGATGCTAATTTGTGAGTGGCATACTGTATAGTGGTATATAACACATTTTTTAACCTGTATTACATTATCGTGGAGTCATCATTGCTGTTGTATTCTGATAAGTTTGATAGATTGTGACCATGTTTAATACTTGTAAAGCTCAAATGCTGTTGTTTAAATCATCCTGTTTGGATAATACACACTGCTCTATGCATATTGCATTAGAAGAGGCTTTTTATGGGCTGATATTTTATGTATAAATCCACTAATATAAAAGAAGGCATTTCATTTGTTTATTTGTGTATCTAATCCTATATAGTATTCATATCCAGATATTCATATTCATATTAGACTCTACTTTAGTTGCGACTCCAGTCACAATCATGCTTTACAAGATCATGTAATACTTTGCAAATATTAATGGGTCTTTCCACAAAACGGTGTTCTCTGAAGAATAGTGTAAACAATTACTTTATGAAAAATGGATATGTGCTATTGTAATTTATTTCAATTTCATCATGTGAACTCTGCGAGGATGTGCAAGTAGCCAGTCTTCTCTTTTGTATCGCTATTTTTTTTATTTTGTTGTTTTGTCAGTAGGAGATGATCTGTCAACCTGTTTGCATTGTTTTTTGTGTGTGTGTGTTTAAAGTAAACAACTGGTTATTGAAAACTGGATATTTAAACATAAAAAATGGATCGAAATATAAGTAAAAAATATCTTCCTATAACTGCCTTGTAGTCTTGCAACCTTAAGGACAGCTATTAATGACTAAATAACCTGTAAAACTGTCGACCTGGCTAAGTAGACCTAAATATATTAACATTTTTAATTTAGCTTAAGACATTTATTGATTTAGTTACCATCATTGACTGCTTAGAATGTTTTTGTTTTGTTTTGTTAAATTGTAATGTAGCCTACTTTAAAATTTCAGTATTGTCAAAAAAATATGTAAGCTATATCGTCCCGAAGGAGTGTTACTAATCAACAGCTTCTTTTTAGTGACTTAAACACAACGCGACCAGTGTAGTTCGATTCCCGCAGGAATGACTCTGAAGAGCCGGTTCTTTTTACTGAATCAAACGCATACAGCGCGACCTATAGTCCCAATTCCTGAGGGAATAACTCCAATAAATTGGTTCTTTTCTACTCTACCAAACGCATACAGCGCGACTAGTACATTTCGATGCAGGGGGAATGACTCCGAAGAACTTACTGAATCAAACGCATATAGCGCGACTAGTAGGCTACAGCTCGATTCCAGAGGGAATGACTCCGAAGAGCCGGTTCTTTTTACTGAATCAAACGCATACAGCGCGACCAGTAGCCTGTAGTTCGATTTCCCGCAGGAATGACTCTGACTCTGACTCGGTTCTTTTCCCTGAATCAGACACACACAACGCGACGTGTAGAGCGATTCCCGAACGAATAACTTGACCAATTTGATACGTAATTGAAGTAGAACAAAACGTGAAAGTCTTTTCCATTAACCTCAGAACGTAATGTAGGCTTACTTATAGGCTAAATCGGAACGTGTAAAACCCCATTTGAAATTTCACAAGGAAACCGAGTTTGAAATGCATTTTTTTCTGGGTTTCAGGACCACAAACTGAACAGTTTTATTGCATTGCCAAATTTTTCTTCCTTAAGTTCTGAAAGAGTCGTTAAGGAACCGGAATAGTTAAATTCCTTACGATCCCTTCTCCCCACATTGTGAGTGCGCGCGCGTGTGTTTGTGTGTGCGCGGAGGGAGATCTTCTAGAGGAGGGAGAACTCAGCTCTGAATCCACGGAGAATGTGCGCGAAACGCTTCACTGCTGTTCTCTTTAACTCCACAGGGCACATTCTGTATGATTTGACAAGAACTGGTTTGGGAACGTCGGAGTGACATTGAAGAAGGCTCATTCCTGAAGACCCAGAACCGAACCTCCGTCTCGAGCTCATCTACAGTCAGCATCCGTACATTCTGGACCTTTTACCACTGGACACTTGTACCACTGACCATTTCTCCCTGTGTGGATATTTCTCCAGACCGCAGAGGAATAGCGCCATTTCCAACGGACCAAATGACTCATTTTACTTTGCTTGGATGAGTTTTCCATCAATTTGATTTGCTTTGCTTTTTAATTCAAATACACGTTCTATTGTTAAATATTAAACTGGGCAAGTACCTGTTAAATAATGACTTTTTAATGCCCCTCCCTCCAAATTAAATATTTTAATGCGTTTTATGAGATGCGTAAAATGGAAACCACTGCGCGTAAATTCACGTCGGATTAACTCTCTCTTCGCATCCCGGCCACATTCCCGTAAAAATCTATGGAAGTAGCAGAGTTTGCTTTGAACTTGCTTTAGGCTGGGTGCCGGGAGTGTTTTCTGCGGGACGTAGTGAGGATGCAGTCGGGGATGCGGGCGCTCTGTGCCGGCGGAGGCGCGTCTCTCTGCTGCCTGCTCATGCTGTGGATGATCTACACCCACATCCTGAAAGAAGGCAAGTGTTGAGCATCACTATACATGACTTTCACTATGGAAACGGGGTCTAAATAACCTCATATCTCCGTGCATAGACTCACCTGATTTTGTCCCTATTATAAAGTTGTTTAAAAATGCAGCTGTCAGATTTCTCTGAGCCAAGCTTCTGTTTCTTAACACCCAGGGGAGAACCATAGAGTCTAGGACAGAAACAACTCCTCTGAGAGACCCTGGAGAGCTTGTGATATTATTATGGAAATCTATAGCATAATATAGAGGGCATGCTTCACAACCCTGAGGAAAATTGTATTGCTCAGGGGTTGCTCTTTCACAGCTCAGGAGATTTATTTGAGATGTAACTTTGTCTCAGTGGGTTCTCCTAAAATGTCTTTGGAGAAATACACTAAATTTGAGATGTGGAGCACAAATGTGAAGAACTTGATGAGAAATCTCAAACTTCAGCCTTGAGAAATCTGAGCACAATTTATGTCATTGTTGTGATTTCTCTCAATTGAGATCTAATTTGCGGTTTTCTTTTCTATGTGAATGGCTTTTAGAGGTGCATTGTGTGTGTCAGACTAGTTCTAGTGTGAAGCTCATGGGTCTCTGAAGTTCTTTTGCTTCTTCTAATGCTGTGAATGATGTGTTCAGGGACCAGTGCTTTTGTATGCATGCATTTGCATCAGTGCCTACTGACATGCATTGCACACTGTTTTGTTGCATGTGTGTGCGTGTCTGTACGGCGTTTCTGTGTGCGTTCTAGAGGTAATGAAGAGGATAGTCATGATTTGAGTCAAGGGTAAGAACGTGACTCACATTTGATAAGCTAACTGCCCTAAAAAGGCACTGGGAGGCATGTCATACATGGCACAGCTTTGTGTGCTGATGTGGAAGTTTTGCAGATGGCTGTCAGTGGGGGGTGCGATGGGGTTTTGAGTTAAGATGGGATATAATAAGAGATATTACAGACATTAACACTTCATCTCACGGTGGTGTCTTAGCATGGTAATACTGCAGACTTAAAGGCACCCTGCTGCACAAATCCTCACATTTAACTGAGACGTTCAGCACATTGAATGTTAGTAGGCGTGAACTGGTGTCTTGTATTTGAGGGCTCAAACATCGCTTATAGATCCTCTTAGTTAATGGCTGAGCTTTATTTGGGCTTCATGGCCTCCGGCTCAAACTAAGGAGGGAAACTCCTTTGAAATAAATTTTTTATTCTGACCACCATGAAGCATCAAGAAATACCTGAGGGCCTGAAATTTTTTGCATCACGTCCAGCTGCACAAGCTGATAAATCACTCATCAAATGTCACTGAATATGTTGTATTTTACAGGCAAGGTGAGGGGATATTTCTGCCACAAAGTCTTTTTTAATGTTGTTGATAGAATTTGCTCAGTGTTATTCCTTAATATCCTTATTCTTTAATTGTCATTAATCACCCTCATTTCGTTCCAAGCGAAAATGTCTTTCTTTTTTCTGTGGAACTATACTCACCCTCAAAATGAATAAAAAAAATGCTGTTTTGGGCCTCATTAACTTTTATTGTGAACAAAAACAATTGAAACATCTTTTTTTAGAATATATAATTTTGTGTTCTGCCAAAGTTGGAGAATATATATATATATATATATATATATATATTTAACAGCATTATTTTTTAGCACAGTCTGGTAGTTAATGTTTTATTTAGTTTATTTACAGTTATGCATTTGATATACTTTTATTCAAAGTTTTTTATCGCTTCATATTATTATTATTTAATTTGAATGTATTTATTTATTTATTTATTCACTGAAGAAAGTCACACACATTGCATTGAAGACTTTTTAAAACCAGATCATATTTTTTATTAAATATATTTTTTATTACTTATGTGTTTATTTTACCACCGAAGAAAGTCATACAGGTTTGGAATGAGTAAATAATGACAGAATTTTCAATTCTGGCTGAAAAAAAAAAAAAAACAGTTAAAGGAACACGATTTCGGTCTATAGCCGGAGGAAACGGCAACTTATGATTGCTGTGATGTAGTGTTGTTTTTGGCGGCCTGTTTTAATTTTAGTTTTAGTCTAGTCTTTGTGTGAAACTGTCATTTTAGTTTTTATTAGTTTTAGTCACGTTCATACTCTTTTTAGTCTAGTCAAGTTTTAGTCAACTAAAAGTCTGAGCATTTTAGTCTAGTTTTAGTCGACGAAAACTGATGACATTTAGTCTAGTTTTAGTCAATGAAAATTGTATTTTAGTTATCTTATTATATTATTGTTACCTTATAGACTCAAGAATACATCCATTCCAGACACGGAAGACGCTCTGATTTGAATTTACAACATTTATTTTACCAACCAAACATGTTAGAAGTACACACACATAAATTTAAATAAAGACGAACCCCGGCTGGCCGGCCATCGGTCCCTTTCTCTGTGTCAGACTTAACTTTGTTTGGTTTTCGTCTTCTAAATCAGTGTTTCCCAACCTTTCTTTAGTCGCGGCACCCTTTGGAAATTTTAACAAATTTGTGGCACCCTACAAAATTAATTTTGTCACAATATTTGAATTTCTAACTTCGATATGATAATTTGAAAAGTATAGATATTCGGTACAACAGGGAAGAACTGCAGAATATAATGTCATACAGATATTTTTAATATTATGAAAAGAAATGTGTCTATCAATGGTGGCAATCAGTAGGCTAATTTCTAATGAAGAGACCAATTTATATGACAGATTTTAATGTAGGCTTTTATTCATATGTAAACATTGTGAGATAGCTAGTTATAATGGTAATTAAACAAAGTTTTGATTTTACAGCTGGGTAATTTTGTTGCAGTAGCACGAGATAGCTTGATTTAAAACTTTGAATTGAATAAAAAATGACAAGGAGGCTAAGCAGTTAATAATAAAATAAGAACAAATAAAGAAATTACTAATGATAGCGCAAATTTAAAAAAAAATCACGATAGGCCTACAAATGAAATAAATTGCTTTTTAGTTTTTCAGGTAGGTCTAACACACAGTAGGGCTATTAAGAGATTTTTTTTTTTTTAATTTTACGAATTATCCAAATAATGTTTAATCCTAGAAAGCTATTATCATCAGAGGACACATGAGCATAACGGTTAGCAGATCAATGAATGAGAGGGCAGCGTTACCAGAGTTGCCCATTTACCACACCTTGTTACAGCACAGTAGGGCTCTTGCAGACAGAAACAATACTGTACTACATCGGTGTTTCCTGTCAGCTTGATTTTTGAGTGGACTTTGCTGTTCCGATGAGCATGAACGGTATATGAGTGGAGCACTCACATGGGCCGCGAGCGACTGAGCGGGATGACACGCAGAGCGTCACACCACGTGAAAGTGAATCCTGAGCGGTGAACTCATTTTCGGCAGCCGGAATTTTGGTGCATCTCTAATTATTGGCGACATTAGAATGGATATTATATAATAGCTGCTTTTTTGAACATTTTAGCAATTTAAAAATATTAAAAAAGGATTTTTTACGCGGCACCCCGGTTGGGAAACACTGTTCTAAATAATGCCGCGAGTGGGGCTTGAGGAAGTGGTGTCGCCTGCGTCTGCGCAGTGCGACCTGATGCAGCCCCTGAAGGGAGACACAGGAAACAGAAATACTGCAAAATAATAATAATAATAACGCGACTAAACGAGACGAAATAACGTTATAACATTTCGTTTCGTCTCGTTTTGGTCAACGAAAATGAAGAGACATTTTAGCATAGTTTTTATTTTGTAAACCACATTTAGTCTCGTTTTTATTCGTCAACGATATTGCATTATACATTTAATTATAGTCATCGTCACATGACCAGCATTTACGTCTCGTCTCGTCTCGTTTTCGTCATGTAATAAAGGTTCGTTGACGACGATATTTAGTCATAATTTTCGTTGACGAAAGCAACACTACTGTGATGCTACAGTGTGGTGGCCTTTCATTTCGATAATGATATCCGTGACCCTACTGAAGTTGTGGGGGAGATATTGATTGATCAATTTGTGTGACCATCGACCTTTGCCGCTCTTTGGCTCCGAGTCATTTACAGAGGAAAGCATGTGGGTTCGAATGAAACCTTGAACCTTCAAGCATAGGCATGTGATGAAAAACCCTCATCGCTCATCGCTGGATTTGAAAAGATCCAGCGTACACATGCATATTATGATAGTGCTTTATTTGTGGTGAGATGTAAGTGATATAGAGATGTGTGTGTATCTTTGTGTGCCAGCAGCGCGTGTGTTATAGTCATGATTTAATTATGCCGTCCTCCCAGGCCAGGGCTGTCATCCAGAATCATAACAGAGAAACATGTGATGACATCACGATAATGCACAGAGCGTTTTCATCACCGATGCCCGGCGTAACGAGATGGACAGTGACGAGATGAGAGAGATTTACAAGATTAAAATCAATTGTCAGGAGTCCAATTAAAAATTCTCTCTTCTTCCGTAGTGGAATTCCCCGGAAAGCTCGAAGCATAAGATTAGTCGTTTGTTAAATATTGTTTCATTGAGCACCTCCCGCACCACTGCGCGTTCAAACTAATGCTTGATTCAGCTGCTTTGTGATGTGAGATGCAAACAAGCTTCTCTGCATGTGCAAATCTGCAGGCTGTTAGGACACAAGCTCATGCCACTGACCGATGTCTCTCTTTATCCGTCAAGCTCTCCAAATGCTGCACTGCACATCAGAGATACTGCTCGCTTTGGTTAAAGGTGATGTGTGACATTTTTCTGATGTTTAAGCATTTTCTTGTATCTGGCCTAAAATGCAGAGACAACTGTAAGCCACTCGTAGGCTGATTTTCAAGGAGTTCTAATAAACCTGGAGAGCTATCCAGCAGTCCCATCCATCTTAAACGCAATTGCTCGGCTGGTGCATGCAGCCTGGATGCTGATGCCTTTGCTGCTGTTCCAGGAAGATTTTCTGAGCCAATCACCTGAGCCATAAATGCTTCTGATCATTTCATATTAGACAGACCAGGAAAACCTAAGTCTGTTTC